AACTATGTTGGATCTTATAGACCTCGGTTCCCATGAAGAGCACTGGAGGTGCTGGAGGGTTTTAACAAGCTGGGAGGAACATGGTCTGGGTAATGTTTTTAAGAGCTAACTCTGGCTGTTGGATGGAATTGAATTTGGTTAAGAGAAACTGTTTGTCTTCTGAAGGTGATGACAGGGAGTCCAGAGAGGAGGCTGGTATGATAAGAAGGAAGGAGGGAGAGAGAAAAATGGACATCCCTTCAGGCAGAAGGGGACCCAAGGCCCAAGCTACGAGCAGGGTCAGAGACATAGGGGCTGAGCTGGGTAGCGTCAGGCATCTCTACACAGCTATTGCTTCCGACTGGGCCTCTGAGGTCGGTGGTGGTAACAGTCCAACAGTAGCAGCAGAATTTCTGGTTACTGTGTTCCTGATGTTCCAAGCATTTCCATGGTCGTATGTGACCCTCACTATATTGGGTTTCACAGTGGGGGAAACGGAGGCTGCAGTGATGTGAGGTCACAGCTGATGGCCTAAGAGCAGGGACGTGAGCCGTGCCTTCAGACACCAGAGGCCTCCTCTGGCCCCACTGCCCACAAGTGAGCTTTGGAGGTGAGCAGGGTCAGGAAAGGGACAGGCAGACAGACGCCAGGAGCTGGGAGAGGCAAGGCCCCAACAAAGAGGCCCTGGATGGGATTGGGTACAGTGCAGAGGGCAGGCCTGGGACCAGGTGCATGGCCCATAGAGGAGCAGTGATGCCTGCTGACCCAGCGCGGGTGGGACCAGGGGGCAGGAAGCAGAGCTGACGTGGGCTCCTGGCACTGGCTTCAGAGCCCCACAGAGGGGCATTGTCCCCAGGCAGCAGGCATGGCCGGCCAGGAAGGAAGCGGGGATGTACCTCTCAGGAAGAGTGCCCAGGGCGCTGGCAGGGTCCCTCCCAGAGTCCTGTGTGTTTGGGGGCGTTTTCAACATGGCAGGGTGGCAAACACACTTCCCCTTGTTCTTGGTCACACCAGGAAAAGGAGACCAGCCAGGGCCTTCATGACCTCCCAACACTCACTGCCCCTCTCTCGTCCCCCTCAGGATGGGGACAGGATTCAACAGTGGCCATTCCAGCCCTAAATCACAGTTCCCAGGTGGCAGACCGAGATCAGGCAGCCAGGACAGTTTGCCAGTGTAGGCCAAAGGCTGAGGTTGGAGCCTCACGAGCTCCAGTTGTAACTTGGGGTCACTGAGGAAGGATGGGGGTGAGTAGGAGTGCATGGTCTGCACTAGATGACTGGGCACCATTCTGCCACCCCTGATCATGTGACCTTGAGCCAATCACTGTCCCCTGAGCCTCCATGCCCTGGCAAAAGCAGGGCTGTGAATTCCTGCTCTGGGTGGCTAAGGGAGCCGAGGCCTGTGCCCAGGCAGGGCTGACAGGGCTCCTACTGAGCTGTGTCACATTTGCCTCCTGAGTTCATAGTCGTGGCTCATTATTACTGCACAAATATGTACCATGTGCCTCACAGTACCCAGGAGGTGGCATGGCATGTGTTGCTGTGGAGTGACCAAATGAAAGCCATGCCGAGTGAATGTGGGCCTGCATCTCTGTTCAAACTGTCAGTGGCCTGGGATGAGATCCTACCATCATCCCATTTCACAGATGAGTTCATGGAGGCCCAGAGAGGTGAAGCCCCTTGCCCAGGGATGCCCAGCAATGAAGCAGCAGGAATAGGATTTGAGCCTATTCTAAAGGAATTGTCTAGTGGAGATTGTGTACTAGGATGCACAGAAGAAGAAGGGGTGGGCAAGGCCATGCCTCCTTTCCGAAAGTTCATTGTCTGGACTACACCATGGGCGAAGTCTCTCCCCAAGGCTCGCCCTACCTCCAGCAGTAACGGCGACAGCAGCAACACCAGGCACTGATACTAACCTTCCCATGTGTGGGACCGGCTTTCCTCTCAGCCCTCCAGGAAAGGGTTACAGTGTGCTCACTTCACAGATGGAAACACTGAGGCTGGGAACTCATGCTGTAAGCCCGAGTCACACCATGTTGAAAAACAAAAAGTGGGGCTTGGCGCTGGTGGCTCACGTCTGTAATCCTAACTGCTCAGGAGAGAGATCAGGAGGATCTCAGCTCAAAGCCAGTGAATAATTCACGAGATCCTATCTCAAAAATACCCACCACACACACACACACACACACACACACACACACGCAGGCTGGCAGAGTGGTTCAAGTGGTAGAACGCCTCCCTAGCAAGTGCGAGGTGTGAGACCCTGACTTCAAACCCCAGTACCACCAAAAACAAAACAAAAAACAGTGGAGCCAGGACCTGAACCCAGTCTGTCCCTGGGTTGCCAGGCTGTGGCGACATCCTCGGGAGGGTTTTAAAGTCTGCTTCATATCCGGGCTCTGTTGTTTGCTGACCGTGGATGTTGGCTCCTCTGTGGTAAAGTCAGGATGACCGTTGACTCTAAATGGGAGTGAGGCTTCACTGATGCAAGCAATGTAAAGCTTGGGTGGCACCTGCTATGTTGAAGGTGTTCATTCAACGTCACTGACACTGTTCTCATCATTGTCCCAGGCAAGTGGCAGTCTAGGATGTGGGGAGCCCCTTGTAATGCTGGTAGCATGCCTAGGCCAGCTCCCTGCCATGTGTCCCAGTGCCCCACCACCCCTCACTCCAGCCTAGACCCTCCTTTCTCTAAGTCTCAGGAAGCTAGAGGCCCCAGGCTGCCTCCAGGAAGGCTCTGGTTCACCAAGTGCTGCAAATATTTACCTTGGAGACCTCAGTCCAGCCTAAGTCCTCAGCCCCACTCATAGGGCACCTGGCCAGGCTGGGGTGCACAGGATATAAGGCTAGGTCTCCACACCCACTGCCCAGGACAGGAGCAGAGCAGGCCCAGGACTCCACGTGTCCAGGTAAAAGTGGGGGGAAGGGGCCAGAAGCCTGGGCTGCCAGGAAGGCCCTGTGCTGGGGACACCTATTGAGGTCAGCCCAGGAGGAAAGGAAGGGCTGGCCTTGATGATATCCCTCAGTCAGCTGGGACCTCTCAGGGTCAGGGCCAGGAACAGAGAGGTGCCAGGTTCCTCACCCCAAAGACCCAAGAGCTGTGATAAGGAATGGGGTGGGCTGGTCTTTCCCAGACCTAACCCCAAGTTCATCAACCCACTCTGTAGACTCTAGTTGCTCAATGCCCGACTGTGCTGGGTTGATGCTAGGGACAAAGAAAAGCACCAACCACAGCAATGCTCCAGGAGCTCCCAGTCAGGCCATCATGGGGCTTGTGATAAAGGAAGGCCTGGCACTGGGAGAGGAGGGCAGTCAGAGAAAGCTTCCTGGAGGAGGCGACATGTTGGCTGCAAAACTGAGCAGAAGATGCTGGGCAGGGAGGAGTGAAAGGCAAAGAGGAATGGGAGCTGAATACCATGTGGCAGAGGGCATCTTCCATGGGAGGTGATCCTGCAGGCTCATGGGTCCCCCCTGCTCTGCGATTAGAGGAGGGCTGAGCAGACTGTGGGGCTGGGGGAGGTAATATAGGGGCAATGCACTTGGAAGGAAAAGATATGGAGTGGGGTGCAAAGGAGCAACATACAGGCCATCACCTCTGTCCTTGGGCTTTGCTGACATTAGCAATAGTAGCTGTCCTCTGTGACAACAGCCAGCATTTACTGAGCATTTCAGCATGCCAAGCCAAAATGCCTTCTCTCCTTGTGTCCTCCCGTCAACCTTGTGGTGTAAGTACTCTAATTATCCCCATTTCACAGATAGCAGACTGAGGCTCAGAGAGGGTAAGTCACTCACCCACAAGCACACAGCCAGTGAGGAGGAAGGCTCCTGCTGAATCTGTCTGACTACCAGACCATGATGTTTTCCCTCGGTCCTCAGGCTCCTGACAAGAGGGACATGGGGTGCAGTGACTTGACAGGAGTCCCCAACTCAGACTACCTTGGCTTAGTAGACTCAGCACCGCCCCCCCATTCTGCTAGGGTTCCCAGCGCTTCCATTCACTCAGCAGTCAGTTATGAAGCACCAGCAGGTACTGGAGGCACAGCAGGGAACAGCGGCCCCAGCCTCCCTCCTAGAGCTCACAGCTTAGTCCTGATCACCAGTGTCTCAGAGGACCTCCATGCTGCAGTCACCCGTGCCACATGTGTCTTTGGTGACAAGAAAGCACATGCTTAGCCAGGTAAGGGCTCAAGTCTCTGCGTTAACAGCCACAGGCTGGAAGGCAGGGCAGGTGTGAGATGGAGAACTCAGGACCAGTGGTGCCAGCCCACGGAGGACATAGAGAACCAAGGAGCCAGAACAACCAGCACCTCTCTCTTTCTCTCTCTCTCTCTCTCTCTCTCTCTCTCACATTTCTATCTCTAACTGGACCCAGACCAGCCTTTCTCCAAGAGAGGTCCAGGGTCCCTGGCTGCAGAAGGGAAAAGCTTTACAGAGAAAGTGAGAATCTGGGTGAGGTTGTGAAGGATAAATAAGAGCCCAACAGGCAACTTTGGGAGGAGAAAAGCACTGGAGAAAGCAAGAAGAGCCAGAGCAAAGGCCTGCACCCAGGAGAGACCAGAACTGTTCTGGAAACATCAGGAGCGTGGACTTGATAGAGCAAGAGGGGACAAAGCAAGGGATGGGTCAGATTGAGCGGCTGGGAGGGCGGAAGCGGAAGTGTTTTGTCCTGAGCATTGCTGGGCGTTTTCTGTAAGAAAATTGCTCACACTGCCCAAGCGCTTGCTGCGTGAGAGGCTTTCTAGATATTATCTCGCTCATTCCATTGACTGTGAAGTACAATTAGTTATTTCACCCACTTGTCAGAAGAGAACACTGAGGCACAGAGAGGCTAGGCTGACTCTCTCAGGCCATGCGACAAGGTGTTGCCCTTAACCACTGTACTATGTGGCCTTTCTGGATGCCATGCCCCGGGCCAGTGGGAATGGTGAGTCTGCTCTGGACCTCTCTGCCCAGCTAGCAGGACCCTCTGCTCCCCGTAGGCTCTGCTACCTGCCACCTGCTGCTCATCAATGCCCCAGAAGATGGCCATCCTGTGGACCTTTGCCCTTCTCTGTGCTTTGCTGGAAGCCACCTTGGTCCCAGCCACCCTCAGCCCCCCTGCAGAGCTAGTCCTTGGCCCAGAAGTCATCAAAGAAAGTAAGTCTTGATCCCCAGGCCTCACCACCATATGGCCAAGGGGACAGGTGGAGCAGCTATCCAAAGAGGGAGGGAATTCCCTATCTCTGGGGGTGTGCAAGGCATGGCTGGGATCCCAGGACATGGATGAGATGTGAGTGGATGACTTAGAAGGGCTGGGAGTGTCTGATATTCAGAACCCATGAGCCAGATGCAGTGGCTAATGCCTGTAATCCCAGCTATGGGAAGGCAGAGATCGGAAGGATTATGGCTGGAGGCCAGTCTGGGCAAAAAGTTAGCAAGACCCCATCCCTGGTGTGGTGGCACATGCCTGTCATCCCAGCTACCAGGAGACATAGTTAGGAGGACTGTGGTCCAAGCCTGGCTAGGAAAAATTGTGAGATCCTATCTAAAAAATAACCTAAAGCAAAAAAGGGCTGGTGGAGTGGTTCAAGTGGTAGAGGGCCTGCTTAGCAAGCACAAGACCCTGAGCTCAATCCCTAGTACAGAGAGAGAGAGAGAAAATGATGCCAAGGTCCCCTTCTTAAATTCCATGATCCCCAAAACCCACCACTTGGGGATCTGTGGCTTGCATCAAGGGTTTGCCACCAAATGCAGCAATGTGACTTCCCCACCACCACCACCCTTGTCTGAAATCCCACTGGCAGAGCTGGGCTCAGGTGCTCCAGTCCCAGAACAAGGGCTCTGACGAGCAGTCCAGTAGCCTCGGTCTCATGCACAGCTTCATCACTCTCCAACTCGGTGACCCTGAGCAAGTCGCTGAGCCTCAGCTTCCTCTATGGAAGCAAATGAGGCCTTGACCCTGGGTTGGTGACATGTGCAATGGCGCAGGAACTGACCCAAGCCTCATGAACTCTGCAGCCGGTTCTCACCACAGCCCTTCCCCTGTGGGCCAAATTCTGTACTACTGTGGGGACCATCCTGTGCCTTGTAGACTGTTTAGCACCATCCTCAGCCCCGTTTTGACAACCAAAAATATCTCCTGCCATTGCCAGATGTCTCCAGGAGACAAAGTCACCCTGGTTGAGAACCTGCTGCTCCAATGGTGGTCCCCTGAGCAGGCCTGCTCCGCCAGCTCTGGCAGCCACCAGAGGACTGGACCTCTGCGTTCTGTGGAACTGGCCAGGGCCAGCGGATGGCTCCCCAAGGAGGGATGGGGATCAGAGAGCTCTGGGAGGCAGCGAGAGAGGCACAGAGGCCCTGGGCCCATGCCATGACTCCCCGGCTCATGGCATTAGAGCCAGAGGGAGCCAAAGGTGAGCAACCACGGTGTAAACCCTCCTGGCAGCAGTCAGAACCAGGGGTTGTTGTAAGAGCCTGGTTTGGGAGGAGACCCCAGGAATCATCTGCAGGACAGTTGGAGGGGGAAGTCGGGCAAGGAGAGATGGTCCATGAAGGGCCTGTCCAAGCTAGTGACCACTGTAGACACCGGAGCTTTCTCCTGCCACGCAACTGTGCTAAGCAATCAAGAGACAAAAGCCACATTGTAATCCGCATGGGTATGCTTAATATAAAGAGCTGCTAACCAAGCACAGCAGTACACATCTATAATCCCAACCACCTGGGAGGCTCGAGGTTTGAGGCCAGCATGGGCTAAAAGTTAGTAAGACCCCCAACCTCAATGAAGAAGCAGGCATGGTGCTGCATACCTGTGGTCCCAGTTACTCAGGAGGCTGCAGATAGGAGGATCGAAGTTTGAGACCAGTCCAGGCAAAAACTCAAGACTCTTCCTAAAAATTAACTAAAGCAAAAAAGGGCTGGGGCGAGGCTCAAGTGGTACAGCACTTGTATACCAAGCATAAGCCCTGAGTTCAAATCCCAGTACCATCAACGAAAGTTATAGCTGTGCGTGGTGGTTCACACCTATAATCCCAGCACTCAGGAGGGAGAGGCAGGAAGATCACAAGTCTGAGGCCAGCCCAGACTACATAGTGAGACTGTCTCCAAAAAAGGAAAATTATTTCCAGGAGATTAGAGAAATGGGGAAGTGACTAAGAGGGAAAAAGAGATTATAAAGGGTTCCCCAGGGGTGGAGGGCAGGGTATCAAGGACAGCTCAAACTCAGAGGCAGAGAATTCTCCAGCTCTTCCTGGGGAGGGAGTGCTTGAAGCCTGCTGGATGGTGGGGACATTTGCTAGGTTGTCCCAGACCAGAACTGGTCCACAGCTGGTGAGCTAAGGCTCACCAGGAGAAGACCACATTCTCTGGGAAGCTGTCCCTGGAGGGAGGGGTCACTGTGACACCCAAGGAGGCCCCAAAACTCACTCGTTGCCCTAGGGAGCAAGGCTAACTCATGTCCCAGCACCCCGGGAAGTAACACCATGGGAGGTGACAGGAGCACCCCGGGGCCTCCTCCTCTGTGTCCCTCCAGATCCTCTACCGACAGGATTTAAGGTTGCTTCCATTGGCAACACAGGGCAGACAGTGACCCGGGAGCTCTGAAGCACGCTGGTGACATAAGGCTGAGTTGCCTGCCCAATGGCCCAGGGGGCCAGGGTGTTAAACACCAACCAAATGGGTTCGGGCTGCTGGCGAAAGTTCTGGCAGAGACCAGGCCCAGGGCCCCGACTCACAGGCTCCTCTGCCCCACACCTGGGGCCCTCTGGACACCAGGCCCCCAGGATGTGACTCCTAGCGAAGTTAGCAAGGGGGCTTTGGCAGCAAACTGCCCCCAACAGGGCTGTGTGGGGTTCCTGCCGCTCATGAGAAGATGCACGGCCGATGTTCTGTGCACCAGTGGTCCCATCTACCCCAGTATCAGTCCTCATGTGAAAACAGCCCACCTGGGCCACCACCCTCAAGGGCACATCCACACAGTGGGGATGGTCAAGATGGAGATGTCAGAATCCAAGGAGCCCTGAGTGGCAGCCCTCTCAGCCTGGAGCCTCCACTAGGCCTTCTTTCCTGCCCCTCTTCCTGGCTCCTAATCCTGGATCTGCCTCCAGAGCTGACCCAGGAGCTCGAGGACCATGGTGCCACCACCATCCTCCAGCAGCTGCCACTGCTCAGTGCTGTGCGGAACAAGCCAGCCAGGGGCTTCCCGCTGCTGGGCGGCCTGGTGAACTCCTTCCTGAACTACGTCATCTGGTGAGTGGACCAGGGTAACACGAAGCCACTTCTTTCCACACCTCCCCACCCACCCCTGGCACACCTTGCAAGCTCAGTGGGTCAGTCAACAAACATCAGTCCCTAACCACCATGAAGAATGGATCAGACACAGTCCTCCCTTGAGAAGCTCCCAGAGTGGTTGATGATGACCATAGACAATGAGGTAGGAACCCTAAGAGGGCAGCCCCAGAGGAAGGTGGCCTGTGGTGGGAGTGAAGGGACAAGGCGCTGCTTCTCAGTGGAGAGGCTGAGCCAGAGACAGGAAGAAAACACATTCCAGGCAGAGGAACTAGCCTGGGCAAAGGCATGGAGGGGTGAGAGTCGCTCAGAATGGCTGCAATTCAAACCCCATGCATGGCACAGAGAGAAAGGCCAACCGGCTGAGGTCACAGAAGGTCTTATTGATCAGCCCAAGGAGTCGAGGTTCACTCCTAAAAGCCAAGGAACCACTGGAGAGTGGCAAACCCAGGTGGAGGGGAGGGATGGAGGCAGAACCATGCTCAAGGAGTCAATGGCCAGGGACTGGGCTCCAGCTTCTAGGAAAGACAGGGAAGGTAGAGTAGGAACAGGCTCGGGGACAAAACTTAGCTAAGCCTAAGGCACAATTCTCATCTCTCCCGAACCCCACCCAGGCTCAAGGTCACCTCCGCTAACATCCTCCAGCTGCAATTACAGCCCTTAACCGATGACCAAGGTCTGCTGATCAAGATCCCCTTGGATATGGTGGCTGGATTCAACACGTGAGTCCACTTGATTGGGCACAGTAGGCCTGACAGCTCCATTCACTCGTGCCCCTTCCCCCATGCAAATATCTGGAAGAAAGCATCCCCAAGTAGAGAGGACAAGTGCAAAGGCCCTGGGGCAGGAATGTACTTGCCTTGCTCAAAGAATAGCAAAGAAAGGAAAGGTGGGGGGAGGAGGTGGAAGATGAGGCCAGCAGGCAGCCAAACCCTGACCCTTCAAGTCTTGTGGGCCAAGGTGAAGACTTGGCTTGTGCCAAGTAAGGAACCAAGGAGGTGGGTCTGAGCAGAGGTGGAGCATGGTGTGGCTCAATGTTTTTTGTTTTGTTTTGGTTTAGTTTTTTTCCTTTTTTTTTTATTCATATGTGCATACAATGCTTGGGTCATTTCTCCCCGCTCTCTTACCACCCACCCCACCCCCTCCTTCTCCCCCCACACCCTCGCTACCCGGCAGAAACTATTTTGCCCTTATTTCTAATTTTGTTGTAGAGAGAGTATAAGCAATAATAGGAAGGAACAAGGGTTTTTGCTCGTTGAGATAAGGATAGCTATTCAGGGCATTGACTCGCATTGATTTCCTGTGCGTGGGTGTTACCTTCTAGGTTAATTCTTTTTGATCTCACCTTTTCTCTAGTACCTGTCCCCTTTCCTATTGGCCTCAGTTGCTTTTAAGGTATCTGCTTTAGTTTCTCTGCATTAAGGGCAACAAATGCTAGCTAGTTTTTTAGGTGTCTTACCTATCCTCACCCCTCCCTTGTGTGCTCTCGCTTTCATCATGTGCTCATAGTCCAATCCCCTTGTTGTGTTTGCCCTTGATCTAATGTCCACATATGAGGGAGAACATACGATTTTTGGTCTTTTGGATCAATGTTTTTTTAAAGGATCCTTCTGGATGCCGTGGGTTAAACAGGCTATAGAGAAGCAAGAGTGGAAGCAGGGAAGCCATCGACCCTCCTCAGGAGGAAGTGAAGATGGTTTACACCAAGGTTAGGACAAGTAGTTAGATTCTGGATATGTTTTGGAAGTAGGTAGAGACAGCTGGCTTTCCTGGTGAATTTAATGTGAGGACAGAGGGAAAGAGAGAGAGGGGTCAAGGTGACCCCAAGGTTTGCGCCTGCCAAAGTCCAGAAGGGTATAGCCAACAACCACGGCCATGAAAGGAGCAGGTTTGAGACCATGCAGCGTTCAGCGCTCTTATGCTAAGCTCAGTAGCTCATAGGACATCTGAGTAGCGAGTGGGGTGTAAGTTTGAAAGCTGTCGCCATAGGGGAGGGAGTTGAACTAGAGCTGGGGTACAGAAGTTGGGGGGATGAGGAGAACCTGCAAAGGAGACAGAGGGAGGAGAGGGTCCAGGAAGAAAGAAAGATGAGCCCCAGGGTGGCTTCCTGTCTGGACTTGAATGGTGCTCAGGCCCTGGTGCCCCCGCCCCCAGGCCACTGGTCAAGACTATCATGGAGTTCCACATGGAGACCGAGGTCCAGGCCCTCGTCTTGGTGGAGACCAGCCTGAATGGCTCCAATAACCTCATCCTTAGCAGTTGTGCCAGCAGCCGGGGCAGCCTGCACATAAGCCTGCTGAACAAGTGAGTGCTGGGATCCAAAGTTCCCTCGGACTTCCCCAGGGACTCGGGCAGGCCACCTCCCGGTGCCTCACTCACCCTCCTGGCCTGGAAGGGCAGTGGTGACGCCTCCCCCCAGCAGTGAGAGGATTCCACCAGGCACAAGGCACTCAGGCCAGAGCACATTGTGTGACAAGGGTTCAAAAGCACAGCGGCTCCCTCCGCTTCTCCTTAGAAGAGATGGCCACAGGAGACACACACGCCAATGGCAGCACAGACTTCTAAAGACCACACCCTGCCCCTGCCCCTGAAGTCCCCCGGAGTCTAGCCCTGGCTCAGGGGCTACTCCCAGCCCTGCCTGGGCAGGTTCTTCCTCCCCCTCCTGTAAAGCAGGGGAGGGGCAATCCTATCTGACCCCCTCCTGTCTCCCCACTAAAGGGTCTCCTTCCTGGCCAACTCCTTAGCAGACAAGGTCACGAACCTCCTGGTACCAGCCCTGCCCCAAATGGTGAAAAAGAAGGTGAGTGGAATTGGCCTCTGGCCTATGGAGACTGCGCCCCCGCGTGGCTAGGGTGGAACTGCACGCTTGCACTAAGCAATCAGTCTCCCTGGATGGCCAGATAATTCCTTCAGCAAAGCAAGGAGCAATGGATTGTGCCTTGACCCAGTTAGGCCACTAAGGTCAAGGTAATGCAACTGCAAAGGCCAGCCAGGGGGCCATGACAATGACACGCTGGTGAGGGGAGGGAGCCCTGGGTTGCAGTTTGCTGACGCCCTGGTGTAAATGTCCCTGGATAGGACTGTGACAGAGGCTCATTGACACGCTATTGCGCAGTATTTCCACCAGGCGGGTAGGACCAGTGTAACCTTGAGAGCAATATGTGCTGGTAAAATAGAGCAAAGTAGGAATTAATGAGTTTCATGTTTTTAATGAATTCATTTTTAATATAGGCTTTTCATTGTAAGTTCATATAAATTATATTGTAAATTTTATTTCTAATAATGTCTGGATTTAGCACCTACCTCAGAAATTCTTGAGTTTTGTTTTGTTTTTTAATGCATATGTGTGTGTGTGTGTGTGTTGTTTTGTTTTGCGGTACTGGGGTTTGAACTCAGGGCCCTGTGCTTACTAGGCAGGTGCTCTACCACTTGAGTCACATGCCTAGTCCTGAAATTCTTGAAAATTTAACAATTTGTCCTTAAAAACTAGACAAGCTGACTCTAGCATACCACCTGCTGTGGGTTTCAGGGGCTGTTCCCCACCAGCTCCTGTTGGATTTATTTTTCTGAGTCAGCAAACAAAGTGAGTTGTTTTTTGGTTTTTGGGGTTTTTTTGGCAGTGCTGGGGATCAAACCCAGGGCTTCATACATGCCAGGCAAGCACTCCACCACTGAGCTACACCTCCAGTCCAGATGAATCTCATTTTATGCCCTTATGTGTCACAGGTAGACTTACAAAATGTTGTAAATTGGATTCATCCACACTGCCCCTCCTGGCTAAAACACCTTGTGAAATAGCTAGTATTTTTATGTTAAGACTTTTTTGAACTGAGAAGATATAATAACTAAAATACCTTTGGGAGAAAAATACCCATAATGCTACTTTAATCCAGTAGTTATTCATAATTTCATCTTGCCTTCTGATCTCCATCCAAGTGCATTTGTATCTTCACCTGCCTGCACGTGGTCAGCCTTTAAATCATAGGTATGTTTCCATGTCATTGTAGAAACTGGTAATTGTTGCAGTAGCTGAATCATATCTAATAATTTACTGAACTATCCAAAAAATCTTTCTTCCTAACAATGTGATTTTATTAAAAGCACTTTCAAACAACAGTAGCAGTATTTAAAACAATGTCTTATATAAACAATGGGACTTTTTTTTTTTCCTGGCAGCACTGAAGTTTGAACTCAGGCTTCACCCTTGCTAGTCAGGCTCTACTGCTTGAGCCACACCTCCAGCCCTTTTTGCTATGGTTGTTTTGGAAACAGAGTTTCCATTTTTTGCCCAGGCTGGCCTGGACTGTGAGCCTCCTGTTTTATACTTCCCACCAGTAGCTGGGATAACAGGCATCTGCCACCACACCCAGCTTTTTTCCATTGAGATGGGGGTCTCACAAACTTTTTTGCCCAGGCTGGCTTGGCTCTCAGTCTCCAAGTAGCTAGGATTGTAGGTGTGAGCCACCCGTACCCAGAAGGACTTTCTAAGATCATTTTAAAACAGTGGAGATCTTGATTTTTCTACAAATTGCCTTCCATCTCTTTGTCTTCAAGAAAACTACAATGCAACATCTCCTTCCATTTTGTGAAATTATGCATCAAGTGTACATCGTAGAATCATGTACGTGGTTTTTTACTGAGTCAGGGTAAAGGGTTTCACCTTCTGTTTCTGCACTAGAAAGCTTAAGATATTGTATTTAGTAGAAAAGGATTTATTACCTTAATAGACTAAATACTGTATGTCAGAGAGACCAAAGAAAAACCAGTGAACAAGCAGGAGCCAAGGGGTGGGAGGGCAGTGTAGCCCAGTGGTAGAGCTCTTGCCTAACATGCTTGAGGCCCTTGGTTCTGCCCCCGTACCTAAAAATAAAAAAACTGAGTTAAGCAAAAATGAGATTTTAGAAAGTTAAGCAGCAATATGGGTTCAGTCAATGCAAGGTACCTTTCTCCAGTACCTTGTTGAAAGAAGGTGGGAAGAGAGAGGGAGGAGGAGAGGGGAGGGGCAGAATATAAATGAATACAAATGTGTTCTAACAAAGTAAAGGTGATGATCTGTTATTGTTAGAATTTAAGCCCCCTAACTGCTAGCAAAGGTGCACATCCAGGAAGGGATTTTTAAGGAAATATGAAAATAAATAATTTTATTAAGTTGAGATTTCTAACACTACAGTTGTTTTTTGGTTTTGTTCTGTTTTTGTGGAACTGGGGCTTGAACTCAGGACCTCACGCTTGCTAGGTAGGCACTCTACCACTAGAGCCACTCTGCCTTCCCAACGTAGGAACTTCTTAAAGTAGAGCCCAGCTGCAATTTATTCCCCAGCCTCCAGGAAAGTCATGTTTTATCTGACATCATACTTTAATAGTTAGAAATAAATTTTCCACTAGAAAAGATGGCAAGAACTTGGCATTATAAAATGCTCTGGCTGAGCATGGTGGCTCATGCCTGTAATCCCAGCTACTTGGGAGGCCGAGATAGGAAGATGACAGACAATCAAAGCAAGTGCTTAACCTCCTCTTTTAGCACAGCAGCAAGGCCAAGGTTTCCCAACCTGGGTATACTGACATTGAGGACTGAGTGATGCTTTTTCATAGGCACTGTGCTAGTATTGTGGGGTGCTTAGTAGCATTTCTGGCCTCTACCCACAAGGCACAAGTAACACTCCCAAGATGTGACAGAAATGTCACCAGATATTTCCAAATGTCTCCCAGTGGACAAAGTCACCCCTGTGAAGAATCACTGGCAATGTTAGGGAGAGAGGTGCTCAGTGGGCCAAGGGTGCGTTGGGGCTGGAAACTCACCAGGGTCACGGAGATTGTTCGGAGCCTGGCTTGTTGGGGTCTGGCTGGCGGCCATTGGTCTAGGGTCTGACATGTTCAGGGAACCCAGCAACCACCTACAGAATGAATCCGTGGATTCTCTGCTCTTGTGAGCAATTCAGGAGTGTGATAGGGACGCAGGTGGCAGGCCAGGCACACTCTGGGCACAGGGCAAGGGACAAACTATTGCAAAAGATCTCGGGTGGCCCTGGGGGCTGCCATAGACTCTGCACAGCACGACTAGCTGGACGGAGTGAACATGGATGACCGCCTGGCTGGCCCTGGCCATAGGTGGCTGGACACAGGTGCCTGTGGGGCTGGCTCCTCAGGATGACCCTGCATCTGTGCCGTTGCAGCTGTGCCCCGTGATCGAGGAGGCCTTCAAGGACATGTACGCAGACTTCCTGAAGATGGCGAAGGGTAGGTACACCACTCCTCACCCCCCAACTTTTCTGTGGCTGTCCAATGGGTCTCCAGACCCTGCAGCTCAGGCCCAGCAGCAGGTTAACCCCTTCCTAGGACCAGCAGGAATCTTCCACAAAGAACTGTGACATGAGCACACACAAGGCTCTGCATGAGAGGGCCAACAGGCGCCCCAGATAAATGCAAGTTCAAATCCCAGCTCTGTCGCTGCCTGGCTTCATGACCTTGAGAAAGTCACTCCACCTCCTTTTCCTCAATTTCCTTATCTGTGAAATGAAAGTTTTTACATCCTTATCTCAAAGAATCGTTAGTGAGGATTAAATGTTTACAGGAAAGTTCCAGGCATATAGTAGATATCCTGCCTGGCTAAAGGAAGTGCTTCCACATGTGGGCTGAGTAAATGGAAGGGAGGGAGGGAGGAAGTGAGGGAGGAAGGGAGGAAGGGAGGAAGGGAGGAAGGAAGGGAGGAAGTGAGGGAGGAAGGGAGGAAGGAAGGAAGGGAGGAAGTGAAGGAGGAAGGAAGGAAGGAAGGAGAGGGAGGAGGAAGGAAGGAAGGAGGAGGGAAGGGAGGGAGGAAGGAAGGGGAGGGAGGAAGGAAGAAGGAGGGGGAGGAAGGAAGGGAAGGAAGGAGGGAGGAGAGGAGGGAGGAAGGAAGGAGGAGGGAGGAGAGGAAGGGAGGAAGGAGGAAGGAAGAGGGAAGTGAAGGAGGAAAAGGAAGGAAGGGAGGGGGAGGAAGGAAAGGGAGGGAGAGGAAGGGAGGAGGAAGGGAGGAGGAAGGAAGGAAGGGAGGAGGAAAAGGAAGGAGGGGGAGGAGGAAGGAGGGAGGAAGGAAGGAGAGGAGGGAGGAGAGGAAGGAAGGGAGAGGAGGGAGGGGGGGAGGAAGGAGGGAAGGAAGGAGGAAGGAAGAAGGAAGGAGGGAGGGAGGAAGGAAGGAGGAGGAAGAAGGAGGAAGTGAAAGAGGAAGGAAGAAGGAGAAGTGAAGGAGGAAGGAAGGAAGGAAGGAAGGGAGGGAGGGAGGAAGGAAGGAAGGAAGGAAGGAAGGGAGGGAGGGAGGAAGGAAGGATGGAGGGAGGGAGGGAGGAAGGAAGGCGGGAGGGTGGATGGATGAGGCAGCAACCACTTTGAGCTATTAGAGAAGAAGGAGCAATGGCAGAGGGGAGATGAGTACCTAGGAAGGAAGTCACTTCTCACTCCCTGACTGTGGCAGAGATAGGAGGACACAGGCTTCTGCCCCCACCTTGGAAACTGGCCACGCCTGGCATCCTCAGAGTGAGAACCGGCAGGGGAGAAGAACGTCCTACCATCTACTGATTTAGGGTCTGAAGAGGCCCTTTCCAAGAGGGCCAGAGAGGAGTGGGGAGAGGAGAGCGGAATGAAGGACGCTGAGCCCAGCGAGCAGGGCACGGAGGCTGAGGCCTTGGGCTGGGGTTCGTGTCTTGTCACACTGATCCTCAGTGCATGAAGCTGCACTCATTGCCTGGCTTCACACATGAGGAAACTGAGACACGGAGCAGTTGAGTCACTTGTCTGAGTTCACAGAGGAAATTCGTGATGGGAGGGCTTGAACTCAGTTCCGGTTCCAAGTGGTGTGATTCAGACTCGGTCATTACTAGCAGCCTATCCTTGGCATGAGGCGCGACTCACCTCATTTTAAAACAAGGAATCTGGGAAGCAAAACAGTCGTCTACTTGGGTGAGACTGTAGCAGAGAGAGAAGAAATGGAGTCAGAGGCAAGAACGTGAACCCAGTCCATCAGGCTCTGCTCCCCAGGGTCAGGGTCAGGGCTACAGACCCTAGCTCCCCTCCCTTCCCCTCCCCCCCCATCCTTTGCCTTGCTGCCAGGCAGATGAGGAGCCACCGCCACCTGGTGGCGACGTGGGGAATCCCCGGTGAACACTGGCCCTGGGTGCATACCTGGTGTTCAGACCAGACCTGCCCTTTTGGAGAGCGGGCTGCAGTCTGGTGGGAGCAGACTTATGAAGAGCTGTCCAGGCTTGGCCTGAGACGGGCTGGGTTCAAACCTTCTCACTGCAGGCTCCAGTGCAAGTCAGCTCTCTTTTCTGAGGCTTGGTTTCCCTGACTAAAATGCAGTGGCAAGGGGGTCTACCTCCTAAGGTTACTGTGAGGAAGTGAGTCTGCATGTGTAAGGGTGCTTAACACAGTCCCTGTCCTCATGGTCACCACCATTATCCTTGTCATTCTCACTCCCACCATCCCCTCTCCAGTGACGCCAGCCACCCTCACAGAACTCTCTTCTTGCCCCACATAGCACCGATTTCCCTCAGCCCTGGACTGCTGAACTTTGACCTTCTGTCTTCCACCATCACGGGCAGCAGCATCCAGATGGACCTGCAGGTGAGTGTCCCAGACCTCAGATCAAAGCAGAGACAAAGACATCGCTGCTGTCCTCCCATCACCTCTCAGACACAAGCAAAGAAAACCTGCCCTCCATCAAGGTATGCACCGAGCATGCCACATGCCAGCCATCCTGAGGAAGAAAACCCTATAGGTCACACACAGAGCAACCCCCGTGGGAAGGGTGTCTGTCCTCTACCCTTGACCCTGCATATGCATGGAGCCCTGAGCCTTTCTCTCAGGCACACTCCTGTCAGTTCCCAAACTTCTGGTGACATTGCAGCAAGAGTTCAGGATGGAGACATGACTTCAGGATCACAAAGACCTAACTTTCTCTCCCAGCTCCATGACTCCCTGGCTGTGTGCTTTGGGGCAGGTTTCTTCACCTCTCTGAGCCACCATTTTCTTGTCTGTAAAATGTCAATAATAATGGCCATTTAAGAGAGAATGAAGTGAGACCACCTGGGGCCTAGCAGACAGGAAGTGCCCAGTAATCATGGGCTATCTGTGAAACGTGGAGCCGCCTGTCCCTGCTGCAGCAGGGATGCCATCAAACCCGTTCTCAGGGAAGCCTTAGAAAAAACTGTAACATCAAACTTTCCACTCAGTTGGCGGCAGCTTTGAACTTTTCCTTCATTTAAGGTAGCTGAGAAGTTAAAATATAAGTGAAAAATAAGATACCTGGTTTGCAAACTGGGCAGGGGGTATGTGTCTGTAGTTCCAGGTACCAGGAGGCCGAGGCAGGAACAGGAGGATCACTTGAGCCCAACCTGGTAATGTAGCAACACCCCATGTCTTTAAAAAAAAAAAAATGCTAGCTAGATAGATAGATGGCTAAAAACCAGGAATGATCTGAGGGATTCAGACGAAGTAAAGGTTCTCAGGCACCTTACAACTCATTACCTTCCACAAGGCACTGAACTCCTAGCTAAACTTCCTGGCAATGAATGCAAAAATCCAAACAGTCTGAATGGTGTCTTAGTCTATTTTGTATTGCTGCAACAAAGTACCTTAGGGTGAGATATTTATAAATAATAGAAGTTTATTCAGCTCACAGTTCGGGAAGCTGGAACGTCCAAGAGCATGGCACTAGCATCTGGTGAGGGTCACAGTGCTGCCTCACCCCATGGCGAAAGGCAGAAGAGCAAGAGGGGGTGAGAGCAAGGACAGCAGAGCACTGAACTCACTTTATAACAACCCGCTCTTGCTGTAACAAAGCTAACCATCAATCATGACCTAATCACCTCCTGAAGGTCCCGCCTCTCAAACCTGTTGCACTGGGTGCTGTTCTGACACAGCAGCTCCCAAGGACACATTTACACCAAGTGCATCATCTCCTGCCAGGTAGCTACTAGGTACACTGTGGAGGTCAGGTCCCAGCCTACACCGTGCTCTGTCCCCTCAGGCCACATTACTGACTCACAGGCCAAGGTGACCAAGTGGTTCAATGACTCCGTGGGCCCGGCATTGCCCACCCTGAACAGCACCTTTTCAGCCTTGCCATCAGGCAGGACGTGGTGAGCGCCGTGGTGGCTGCCATTCTCCCTCCAGAAGAGCTCCTGGTCCTGCTCGACTTTGTGGTGAGCCTCACCAAGGATAGGGCAAGGGGGCACACCTGCTGCATCATCTCCCCCAAAAAAGACCAGTGAGGCCTGGAATTCCCTGCCTTGCTGTCTTCATCCCTCCAGCCCCTAATGGTCCGTGTCTGACATTCAGCGCAAAAGCTGGACATGTCCCTGGATTGTCCCACTGAGGATCTGGTTCTGCCCTGTGGAATCGAATCTACCTGTTTTTTCTATAAGAGTCCCAGGGAGCCAAAGGGCATCTGAGACCTGAGTGGACAAGGATGACAGTGATGCTACTGTTGCCACATGACCCACAACAGACATCACTAATTGGCCAGGGTCTTCCTTCCTACTAAGCCAGGTGCCAAGGCAACCTTGGAGTCCCTGCAAGTGCAGCATGGCAGACTGGAGTCTACCACCAGTCATGCCTAAAGCCACCCATCCAGGGCAACTGACAGGGAAACCGAGTCCAGAGGAGAAGAGTGCCTGAAGTATGGGAGGTGGCAGAACCTCAGTGCCAAGGCCTTGAGATTTGGACTCAGAATCAGGGACTGGATGGATGGAGGGAAAGGGGGCAGTCAACACAGTCATAGTCACAGCTGCAGGGAGAACTGATGTCACTGCTGAATGTCCTCTGGGTACCCCAGCCCACAGCAGAAGCCCACTGTGGCCCCATGCCACAGTGGCTGACCTAGGGGCTATTTTCCACAAGTGACAGACACGGCCTGGACCACAAAAAAAAAAAAAAAGCTGGCCTTCCAGCTTTTGTGGGGTTCTGGAAAGCCTTCATCCCATCAGTGAGATGTAGATGAGCCTTGTGTCCTGTCTGACTGACCTTCTCTGGCTTTTTCTCCCCCTCAGCTTCCAGATCTGGCCCATGAGCTTAAGTCAAGAATCAAGGTGATCAATAAAACGGTGAGTCCATCTGCCACCTGTGATGTGATGGGTGCTGGTGCAGTCTGTCCGTTGGCCTCTGGGGTGGGGAACTGGTGGGGGCTGTTTTACCTTCCACCACTGGGGACATTAACAAACCAGGTACCTGGCCGCACGCAGATCTCAGTCAAGCAGAGAGGGTTGAATGAAACAATCATGTGGATGGTATTTCATCACAAGTGTGGTGGCAAAAGACCAGTGCTGGGGTGTTGAGGGTGTCCTTGTGCAGCTGCGAAAGGGAGGGCATTCCAGACGTGCACTCCAGAAAGGATCTGTGGGAAGCGCAGAGGGGAGGCCAGGCTCGGGCCACAGTGACCATGTGGGTCTCATGTCTCTCCAGGCTTCTGATAAGCTGGGACCCACCCAGATTGTGAAGATTGTTACCAGGAAGCTCCCCCAGCTCTCTCTGAGCCAGGATGACGCCAAGTTGGCCCAACGGATCTTGCTGGAAGTGTTCGCCACCAATAAAGATGTCCGGCCCTTCTTCACTCTGGGCATTGTGAGTTCAATTATCTGTGACATGGGACTTCCCATTCACTGCTCTTGTAACCCACCAGCAGGAGAAGGGAGATCTGAACCAAGAGCCAGGAGTTTGGGAGCCAACTTTGACCCCATGACTTTATTGGTCAGGGAATCTTTGGGCAGAAACTCAACTCACATGCACAGAAGGAATTGCATTCACTCATATAACTGAAAAGCCAAGAGGTATTGGCTTCAGGAATAGCTGGATCAAGGTGTGTTCAAATGATGTCATCTTCTTTCTTCTTTCTCCCTCTGGCGACTTTGTTTCTCCATGCTTCTCCTTGGGCAAGCCATTCCCTCATGGAAGGACCAAGCTGCATCAGGCTTATCTCCTACCAACTTCATCCCATAGGAGGGGCTTCTGTCCTAATCGCTCCAGCAGTCTCAGGGCTGCCTCTCATTGGACGAGTTTGGGTCATGTGACCATTCCTGAGCCAATCTGTGTGGCCAAACACACAGATTGAGCTGGGACAAACACAGGAGGGGGATTGGGAGTTGCTGCATCATAACCACGAACAACTGAGGGGGTGGTCAGAGCTTCCATTTTCGGGACCACTGTGTGAAGGATGGGCATGGGGTCTTTGAAGGACAAGCCTACTAGGAGACCCTGAGCAGGATCCCTGGAAGCAGAGCCTGAGATGAAGATTCTCTTAAAGGTGACTAATCAGGGGACAGTTCTCAGGGCACGGAAGTCTCTGTCAAATACATGTCTCAGCTGGAGGCTCACCCTCACCTTACCCCACAGGGAGCCCCAGAGCATTCACTGCACAACATTGAGAGCAGAAGGGCAACCTTTTGTACTCCTTCAACCATCAGCCATCGCCCCACCAAGAGCCCCCAGGGTCGGGAAAACAACACCCACCCCACCCCACCCCCACCCCCACCCACCCCCACCCCCCACCCCCGCCATCAAGTTCACTCCATTCAAGCAAGGGATGTTCCCCAGACAAGGGGCAGCCGTGAACTGTTAGTGACAACACACAGCATCGGGGAGGCGGATGCCCCACCTGCACAGGGACCCGAGCAGGGCAGCCATGTGTCTGCTACAGAGGCAAAGAAGGTTCGAGATGAGACGGACTTATGGTGGGCGCTGGTGCTTAAGGCCGTCGGGCGCTACCTAGCTCTTAGTGCCAGGCTCAGATTGATGTGTGCATAAGTGGAGTCTCCGTGTACAGCCGTGCAGCTTTTCTGGCACACAATTTTCGGGGTGCCTTCCAGAATGACAGGTGAAATGGTGCCTCCTGGAGGTGTTCAGAATGCTCTGGCCTCCTGTGGTGAAGGGCATTCTGTCCCCAACCAGCAGTGGGAGCTGACTGCACTCCCAGGTGACCCCTCCATGGCCAATGAGGGACACTGCAGGACAAGTTGTTCCTGGGTACAACTGCCTAGAGCTGGAGCCTGGTGCACTGCCCTCAGGGTCACCCTGACCCAAAGGTCAGGCCAATGCATGCCTTGGGCCTGTGCGGGACCTGGCTTTAGCTCTGACCCTTCTGATAATACCAACAATGGTTACTGTCTAGCAGGGCCTCAGTCCTCTCTGTCCCTGTTTCCTGCCCTGTACACCAGGGAAAGAACAGCAGCAGCCCACAGGGCTGGAAGGATCAAAGGGTGTGATCACATCAAGTTTTAAAGTGCCACTCGACACACAGCAAGGGCCGCGTCCAGCACACCTGTAATGCCATCTGCTAAGCAGGGAATGGGCACGAGGACCATTCCTCTGAATAATGCTGAAAGTCAGGCCCAGAGAGGTCAAATCTTTTCCCAAGGTCACAGAGCCCAGGGACGGGACTCAGAGCAGGTGACCCTGAATCCAGAGCCTTCTTGCATTACCTGAGCCCCACACCTGGCTTCTCTTATTGCAGGAAGCCAACTTAGCAGCTCAGTTTTACGCTGAAGGGGACTGGCTTGTACTCAACTTTAATGACATCAGGTAACGTGTGAACCATTGTGAAGATTCCGCTGACAATAATAAGTGCTGCCCTGTGACTAGGGTGTCCTTAAACACCTAGTGGGTGGACATCAGGTGAGGGCTGCTCCAGGGAAGGCAGAAGGCTGCCTTGCCTGGACTCCTCTGCTGGTGAGGACTGAATTCAAGAGACAGGGAAGGACAGTGAAGGGACCTTACACCTCCTCAGGAAAGGCCACCCCTGGCCATGGGAACGGCCTACCCAGCACCACTCCATGGCCTCAGGAGGCCCATTCTGGACAGTCCCAAGACAGTGGCAGTGACAGTGGCAGTTGGCCCCAGGCACTGAGTCTAGCACAGAAACACCTTCTGCCTCCCTGCAGAGTCTCTCCACCCCAACCCCTGCCCCAGAGCAACTTCAGGGCTTGCAAGCTAGAGCCTCCAGGAATAGAATCAGGCTCAAAGGGTTTTGATTAGGGTTGAATTTTAATGTAGGTTAAATATAGAAATCAGACTACCTGATTGCCCTGGGCTGACACTCTTACATAGCAACAAATGGTTGAGCTGGAATCAAACCCCCTCCCATTTAGAAGGAGTTTGGCTTGGCTGGGCACAGTGACTCATTGCTGTAATCCCAGCTACTTGGGAGGCAGACATTGGGAGGATTGAAATTTAAGAACAGACTGGGAGAAAAAAAAAATTAGTGAGACACCATCTCAGCAAACAAGTCAGGCATGGTAGGATACATCTGTATTCCCAGCTACACAGAAGGCATAGGTAGGAGGATCACAGTCCCAGGCTGTCTGAGGCAAAAAGCAGAAGACCCTCCTGAAAAATAACCTGTATTGAAAAAGGGCTAAAGGCAGAGCTCAAGTGGTAGAGTGCCTGCCTAGCAAGTGCAAGGCCCCAAGTTCAAACCCCAGTACTGCCAAAACAAAACTGGAAGGCGGGGTGGGGAGGAGGGGTTGGCAGAGGAGGGAGGAGGCTTGGCTCCCTTGTAATCCACCAGTCCTCACTCCTGGGTGATTTTGCCACCCCCGTTAGACATGCTCTGTGAGGCACGGCCTCACTTTGGTTCACAGCTACATCATGAGGGCCTGCACTGTGCCTGGGTGCTGAGCGGGAGCTCAGCCAAGTGCTGGCTCTCCAAGTGGCCTTTGTGTTACAGCTCGATCGGATCCGCCTCATGATCTCGGACATCGGCCTGTTCAATGTAAGTACTCACGAGGCAGGGGGTCGCAACGGCCCGTTCTGAAAAGACACTGCCCAGGATTTGCTCCCCGTGAGAGCCCCGTGGGCAGCTTCAGGAGGACTGGCTGCCTCCACATCAGCCACAAAGTCCAGCCTCCTGACTGGGGTATTTACTGAGCACCGCTGTGTGCAGACGCAGCTGAGAGCACACGTGGCACACAATCCAGACTTTCTGTCAGCAAAGCTTTGATTCTGTACTAGAAACCAAAGCCCCTGAACTCATGAAGTCTTGCCTCAATGTCTCTGGTCAGCCTTCACCCTCTGGTCCTCCGTTTCCCCAGTCACCAGACGGAACTAGGGGTCAAAACGGGCTGGGTTCTCTCTTTAGCCATGTTCTCTTTGATCTTTACGGGTTTTCTTTTTCTTTTTTTTTTTTAAGCAATATTTTAAAATATTTTAAGCAGTATTTTCTAAGTGGAAATCAGGACCTCTGACCTCCGTTGAGAAGTCAGAAGTCCAGGCAGCGCAGGGCAGCTCCCTCCCCTCCCAGACCCCTGAGGATGGGGTGTCCCCTGTGGGCCAGCTGCGTTCCTGACTCTCCCCAGTCTGTCTGTTCCCAGGACCCCTTGCAGCTCTGAGCTGCGGGGGGCCTGGGATTCCAGCACCTCTCTCAACTATCCTCCCCATGAGGATGAGCTAGGCTGCCTGGAATAGTCCAGAGGACCTGGCCACTCAGCCAGGTGACAGTCCCCATCTCTCCAACAGCCTGAAGTCCTGACCAGCATCCTCACAAAGATCCTCTACTCTTCCCTGCTGCCAAATGAGAATGGTGCGTCACTCTGCCATCTTCCCCCCCCCACCGCAGCTTTGCTCTGCCCCTTCTGCTTCATTTGGGGACCTCTTATTTTCCACCTGTCCTCCAGAGCCCAGTTCAAATTCCACCACTCCAGGGCACCTTCCTGGTCACCCAGTGGGAATGTCCTCTTCCATCTCCCGTCCTCCCAGCCCAGTTCCTTCAATAACAGCAGCACCAGGGAGGACAAAGTTAAGCTTGTGAACCCCAGCGTTACAGGACTGGCCACAGGAAGGGGACAGAAGTGCAGAGAGCTAGAACACACTTGAGGAGCCTCAGACAGATCTGGGTTCAAGTCCTGGTCCCCTTCTGGCTGGCTGCCTGGCCTTGGACAAGCACCCTAATCCTCTTGAGCCTCAGTTTCTCCATCTGTGAAATGGAGAAATAAGTACCTTCCTCAAAGATGCAACTGAGGCAATGTGTGTTAAAGGGGTGGGGAAAGCAGGTAACCTCTTCCAGCATCACCTTTTCAATTTCATCTGACTAGAGTGGGAAATCTTGAAGTATAGAAACTCGCTGCGGGTCACTGGGAGCCAGTGATGTTTCCTGAGCAAGAGGGTGAGAGGATGTGAGAGGTCCATTGTGAGACAGTCACAGCAAATGAGATGAGGCTGAGTGGATGCTGGGCAGAAAATAGGCAAGCAGAGCCAGAAGGGACAGTCCAAATCAGGTGTGCCAGGCCCTGGCTCCCCTCCAGGAGCTGTGAGCCTGCCCACCCCTGCCCAAGCCCACCCTGGGCCCACCAGTCTTGGCCATGTTTTTTTTTCAGGCAAATTAAGACCTGGGATCCCAATATCGATATCGAAGAACTTGGGATACAAGACAGCTTTGTGGTCTGTGACCCAGGTAAGTGGTGTGGCTGGGAGGCAGGGCATACACACCAATCCCAGCCCTGCCGGCATTGTGGTAACACGGCCAAGTCCCTAAGTCCCTTCCTTTTCAAGGCCTCACCTCCTCCTCACTGCCATGTGAGGGACCCAGACACCCTTCCCACCCCACTTGGCATTGTTCATGCATTCACTTGCTCGTTCACTCAGTAAATCTTTTCTGAAGGCCTACTGTGTGCCCGGCATGACTCTGAGAGCTTGAGGCCACAGAAGTGAAGCCTCCCCACCCCCTTTGGCAGAGCCTACATCCTAGCAGGAGAGGCAGATACATAAGCACATAATCTGTAGCATCAAGTAGATCCAGGCCGAGAATAAAAATGAAGCAGATAAGACAGAGTGATGGCCGAGAAGGGCTGTTGTTTTACGCAGGTGACATTTGGGTGACTCCTGAGGAGGCGGGATTGTGAACCCTGTGGGCAGCCAGGGGAAGTGTCATGTCAGAAGGGACAGCAGAAGCAAAGGCCCTGAGGCAGGGATGTTTAATGTTCCAGAAAAGATGATGACGGAGCCAGATCTGAGGCAGTATCCAAGCACGTAGACCTTAAGCTTCACACAGACACTTATGTGGCCAAGTGGCCTCAGAGCAGCAAAGCCCAGAGTCCTATCCATCTTGTTCATATCACTGTACGCAGAGCTTGAACAAGGCCTGGCACACACTAGGCATTCAATACATGCTTGTTAAGAAAAATGACTCTGTAGCATCAGCTGGGGGGGAGGGCAACAATAGCATCATGTCACCCTCACTCAGTGACAGCAAGTCCTTTTTCAAAGCCATATACCAGTAGGTGGCAGATGGGATTTTGCACTTGGCACCAGCCACAACTTCCACATGAGCCAATGTCAGCAAGGTGCCATGTCAGTCAGCTGGCCAGCAAGCATCTACTGTGTGAGGGCACTGGTCACAACAGTGACAAAACAGAAATAAGTGGCTTCTTAGAGTCTCAATTCCACTCTAGAGGACAGAGATGTTGGAAACAGAATTATTATCAACAAAGAACACCCGCGGTCAGGTGCCAGGCTCATACCTATAATCCTAGCTACTTGGGAAGCTGAATCGGGAGGATCATGGTTCGAGGCCAGCCCAGGCAAATAGTTCTTGAGACCCCCATCTCCAAAATAACCCGAGCAAAATGACTATAGGTGTGACTCAAGATGTAGAGCACCTGCTTTGCAAGCACAAAGTCCCACCAAAAAAAAAAAAAAGAAAGAAAAAAGAAAACCCACAGATAACTTGCCCACCACCCTTCTTGACAAGTGTCCAGCCTGACACCACAGAGGCACTTCAGGCCAAACCCTTGCTCTTATTAGTCCTGATTTGCCCAACCACTGCATTCCTGACCCTTTTCATTCTGGAGAAGCTCGGATTTAAATTCACTTTTTTTTTTTTAATGTGGAACGCTTCACGAATTTGCATGTCATCCTTGCGCAGGGCCGCGTAATCTTCTCTGTATCGTTCCAATTTTAGTATACGTGCTGCAGAAGCGAGCACTTAAATTCACTTTTTGCATATATTCCCAAATTTCTGGGCTTGCTCTACCTGTTTCAGCTAGCAACACAGTGATTTCCTTGTATCACTTTAAAAACTTGTGTTTAAAATCCAGTAGGAGAAAAGAATAAAGGAACAAACATGAGCTAGAGCCAGTCCAAGTAAGAGAACGCTTGGTGAGAGGTCAGGTGACAGTGGCAAGTGCTCACTATATACTTCTTTGCTGGCTGTTTGACAATGCTCAGAATAAAATCTTGGTGGGCTTGCTAGGACAAGTTCCCCACATTGCACTTAGTGAGTCTTGTTAAAATCTCAGCTTCCTGGGTTCCCACGGTGACAGCCAAAGCTGCCTTTTATAAAACTTCTTGGAGCATGGTGGCTGGCTGGGTTTGGGAACAGCAGTTCTACACAATCTGCCCACTGCAGCAGATGCCTCACCTGTGCCACAGGCCACCATGAGACATGGCTGTTCACACACAGCCCCTCTACCCTGATGAGTGAGTTCGGAGTTCAGGGTCATGACCCCCCCTCCCTTGTAAAGGACAAAATCATCACACTCCACAATAACAGCCCTCTGCTCTCCTCCTTCAATTCCAGGGCGCCCTCGTGCTCACCCCAGCCTCCGCCTAGAACCCTGGCTCTTCTCTCTCCCAGTGATGACATGGAGGTGGCTGTCCCCGGCAGGTGGGTCTCAGCTGGGAGTGTGGGAACCAGCTCTGTGGGTCATCTCTCCCTGAATTAATAAACACATGCTTGTGGCTCTGCAGCCTGGAGTGTGGCTTTGTCCCAGTATAGGAGTCACTCTGCCATTAGCAGACTTGGGGACTGTACGCTAAGCCATGTTGAGGCACTCTGCACCAATCCGGGCAATGTCGGGGCTGTGTGGGGCTGTATTAGACCTGGGTGGCCTTGATGTCTCCCTGGGCCACAAGATGAAGAAAGCCAGTGCCTGTCTCCATGTCAGCTTCACAACCATCTACAGTGATCTATGGTGGGATGGCCTTGGGTGGGGGCACACATTTTGTTGATCTCTGAGCCACCTGGCTCTGGAGGCAGGTGAACTAGACTTTGAGCTCCAGCCTGGCCCCTAATGCCTCTTTGATCCTGGGATGCAGCTTTCCCTCTGTGGGCCCAGTTTCCTTCTCTGTAAGAAGGAAGAATCACAGGTCCACCTTGGATGGCTGTGGTGAGGATTAAATGAGAGAGTAGATCCAGGCACAGTGATGTCATGGGTGGTATCATGTCACTTGTCATCTGGCCTCAGGGGTGTTGGCCTTCTCATTCAGACAGCACATGTGTCCCTGGCCTCTCTGAGGTCAGGAGGTAGCTGGTCAGGTACCAGGAGGTAGGGAACAGACAACATGGCCTTGTTCTCCAGACCTAGGGTCGGCCACCTAAAGCCTCAGTCCTGCAGGGCCCTCTAGGAAGAGAGAGGAAGGTGTTTGGGGACAGCCACCATTCAGTTTCAGAACACAATAGCAAGGGAGGTAGCCAGGAAAGAGCATCTCCAATCTACAAGGAGAAGGGCCAGGCCAGGGAGGATCAGGACTGGACCCTTCATGGGGTGTTTGCATCGAGTCAGCCACGCCAAGGGCTGGGCCAGTGCCCAAGCCCCGGTGTCCCCCATCTCCAGCTCTGTGGTCTGAGGACAGGGTCAGAATTGGCTTCCCACACTTCTCATCTATTACTTTTCTGGATCTTATGAAACTTGGGTTTGAACTCCCACTCAATCTCCATCTTGTCTGGGCGGGGCCTCTTTGGGCTCCTCAGTCTCGTACTATTGCGGGGCATTACGAGCTGAGATGGGAGACGCTGAGGCAGATTAGCAGGAAGCAACGTTTATTGTGCCAGCACAGACCCAGCGGACTCATGTCCAAAGGCTGAGCCCCGAGAACAAAGGGGTCTCACCTTATATACCCTTGCAAGCAGGTTACAGAAGCAAAAAGCAAAGCTCAACCCACATATGGATGCATGTGACTTAATTGGCTATTTAATTTCCCCAGTGCTATGTGACCTTCATGTTTCAATTCTTTAAGTTTTATCTTTCTGCTTCGCCATCCCCTCCCACTGCCTCATCATCAGAACACGGTCTGTCTGTTCTTTTCTGCCCCCACCTCAGCTTCCTGCTACATTATTCCCCCCTTTGATGCTCGGACCCAACCAGGGTCAAAGAGCATCATCGTGATCTAGGGGTTTGTGTTTCCATAGCATCATTACATGCACGGCCGTTTCCTTTCTATAATGGCCTCCATTATAGTCTTGATAGACCATAGCACCAGGGGACCAGGCAGGCAGTATTAAGCATGCTGTCAGGATTGGGCCCATTGCCCTATCAGAGTTTTGAATCCACCTAAGGCAGAAAACCACCCTCCAAACAGGTCATTGGATCCCATCCTTTCCAAGTCTGGACGGGGACATGGGTGAGCTTTCTCATTCTGCCTGTGATCTCTTTTATGACCTTTCCTTCATCACCAATCTGTAAGCAGCAGTTGTTCAGGTTAAATTTTCCACAAAATCCTCCCTCAGAAGCCAGCAAATAGTCTAAAGCCAAGTGGTCCTGATAGATGGCATTGTGCATTTTTGTGTTTTGTTTTGCCAGCAAATTGAGGTTCTTGCAGTTTCAACAACAGCCTGCAGCCGGATGATGTGGTTGAGCATTTATACAGGGTGCGAGAGCCCCAGGACCCGTCTTCTGCCCAGGAGCAGATGATTTGTTCATCCTTCCAATTGCCAATTTGTAAGGCACCCTGTTTTGTCTATTTAATTTTTCTTATATATGGGGACTCCCAGATTTTTACCTTGTCTGAGGGGAAGCAGGAAAAGGGATGATCTGATTGAACCTAGCACATAAGACCCAGACCAGCTACTAGGTAGCACTGTATAAGCTTGCTTCCCACAGATCCATATTCCTCTGGGTGCTTGCCAATCTATGTTTGAGGTAAGATTGTGCCAAGCTTTCCTGAAATTAGAGAAACTGGCCAGTGGGTGGGGCTGGGGTTTTGTATGGTTAGGCGCTCCCCATAATTGAGTCTTGGCAGTGTAATTGTAAAACTTTTGTCCTAAACAAGTTAAATCCCCCACTGAGGTGGAGAATTGGCCTTCTGGGCGGGAGACTCAATAATTTCCAATGATGGACGTTTTAGGAGCCAGATGCCTTTCCTGTGTTTGGGACAGCAGTCCCATTAAAAGGCTCCCGTGGTCCAAATCCTTTGTTTCCCAAGGCCAGTGGTCCCCATGTTGGTCCCCCCACAAGCATAACATGAAGTGACATTCAGTGTCTGGGCTATAGACTCAGCCAGTGAGAGGAACCAGTTTTTAGCTTTAGCAGAGATGGAAATTCACTCCTCATCTCCTCATAAAGGAGTGAAAAAATGGAAGAGGAACTCCCATGGGTAACAGTTACTACTTTGAGGTGCATCAGAGTCCCGGGTCAAGGCCCTTTCCATCCATCCTTATGCAATTACATGTCCCCGTGTGCAATCAGATGGCTTAAGTATAGTGAAATTTTACAGGATTACAGGTACCAGGAGTGCACTTTGGGGCAGCTGTCCCCTTGCTGTTTTGTCCTTTCCCATGTGGCCCATGAAACACAACTCCAGTAAGGGCAATAATAAGAACCCACATTATCACGTGGCCAAGAGCTGTCTCTCGTGCACATATACTTAGTATAGGCTCTCTCCCAAGTTACCCCACAGCCACAGCCACAGCTACACCCCACATCCACCTGGTCTATGGCCGCACATGCATCAAAGAGCATTGACACTGGTCTATCAGGGCTAAACACCTGGGAAAACTGACGAGCTTCCCATGGTGTGGATGCTCTGGATCTCTAACCATTGCTCCTGGGGCGGTAAGTGGGGTTGAAGCATATATGCTGATTACCGTGGGAGCACACTAGATAGGTGGTATGTTGTGAGTGCATGACCCAATGACAGAGCCTGAACAAGAATAGTAAATATGGAAAAGCAAAGTCCTAGTGACAACATTCCTGCCCAGGTAGTATGCATAATAGGTCACAGGAGGAGGCTCTGGGACACAAGGGAGATCATGTCATTAACAAACACCCTGCCCAAAAAGAGATAGAAGAGAGCTAATAAATCCAATCCGCAGGAGCAGTTTCTGCCAAACCTATGGCAAAGACTAGGGTGAGAACTACAGCAGCAGATGCAGACAAGGGGTGAAAATACATTACAGTGCAATAACTGTGTGGAAAACAGTCCATTGTCCCGTTGGAGAGTTGACTCTTCAAGCTTCTGCTGTTCGTAGACTAGTCAGCTTCTGGACTGACTAGAGCAGGGCAGCCGTCCTGCTGTTCTTGATCCCTGTTGTTTTCTGGGAAGCAAAGTCCTGAGGAGAGCACACACTAGGTCTGGAGGGCGATCCTGCATGGTGAAGCTGATCAGGGATGCACTCCCACTCGAGAGAAGCTGGCTTGACTCGACTATAGCAATCTCCGCTACTTTAACTGTAGTGGGGATAGACAAGACAACAACAAAAGGGCCCTCTAGTGGGTTTTAATAGCTGGACATTTTATTCTTTTACCCAGACAATGTCTTTTGTTTTGTTTCTGAGTAGAATTACCATGGCAACAATATACTATCTGTATAAATGTCCAAGAAACATGTTGTTTTAAAAAAAAAAAAAGTTAAAACCACCATCTTTAAGTACTAAATGACATGTTTAGAGCCAGTAAAAATAGTTATTTGTCTCTTTAAGTAGAAGACTCGTCTAAAAGATATGCATTTTATCTGCTTTAATGCCAGATACCCACACATGTATAAGAACCACTTTCTCAATCTTCTCGACCTTGGTTATTTTGAGAGTGCACCAATGACTCCATTTGAACTTTGATGGCATTCTCTCCTTGTCTCCAAACTGTTTGTCTCTGAGCAGTCTCTTCTGAAGATTTTCTCCCATCCAAGTACTAACCAGGCCCAACCCTGCTTAGCTTCTGAGACCAGACAAGATTGGGCAGTTTAGGGTGTATGGCCGTACTGAAGATGTTTCTTGATTGGCCATTTTTTTTCTTCATCATGAGGATTTGTTCTTTTCTGGATTTGTTTGTTTGGTTGGTTTTGATCCCACATCAGAGGGAAATAATGAGCAGATCAGGTGGAGTCAGTGCCAACTAGACCCTTTTGGCCAAATTGAAGCAAACAAAGAGGCTTAGAAGAGTGGCCCTTAGCAATGGGCTTTTAGACAAGGACAAAATAGAACAAATCCAACAAAAGCAGATATCTAAAAAGTTAACCTGCTTGACACATAAGCACTTATTAGAGTCATTTTTTATGGACTTGATTGTAAATGCCCCAGAAGGATCAGAACTGTAATGACAAAAACTTAAGATCATGGTTGAAATTCTGATGGACAATTAGCAACTAACAGAACAGTATATTAGTACACTAACTTTGTACGTGTTTATCTAAATTTGTATTTAGAAGGCTTGATATACTTAAAAACATAAATAATTTAGTAAAGGAACCAGCAACAGCATCACAGCTCTATAGAGGTTATACATACACTTTAGTTTAGTTGTTCTTGAAAAAACCTATATTTATCAGTTGTAGGGAGGGAAGAACAATTGTAGTAATCCAAATCCCATCACAGATGCATATAGGGTACTGACTGTA